TGGCCCCTGGCCTTGTTGTGACTGACGATATTGAGTATCTCTGTGGTCTCGTCCCACAGAAGCAGTCAATTTAAGTTCTGTGCATTCCATTCAGTGAGGTTCAGCAGAGCTATACAGTCCATCCAGCGAGGTAGATATAGTCACTGTTAAACTTTTTGGAAAAAGGTCATTCATCTGGCCAGTCTCTCATATTATCCTTCTCACCAAGACCCACCTTTTCAACTACCAATCTCTGTACTTCCCAGCATGCATCATCCAGTCATCAGAATTATCAAGGCAACTTGATCGCATGATAATGAATTTTAGATTGCCGAAGTTGGGAGCATTTCTGTATTTAGTCATCCTTGTTATTAATGGTTGATGCAAACATCTGAAAAAAAGTCATAGTAACTGATCTTCCTTTTTGATGTACACTTATTAACCTATCACTCGCAACACTGTATGCCAAGGTTGTCTTGAACATTTTTTTTTTATGACCAAGAATGTAATACCTTCACATTCTCATCCTCATATGATTGTCTGATTCAAAATGACCAGTTCATGTTAGCTCACTCTTGCCTAGGATCTTGATCTTTTTGTGTTCCATTTCATTTGTATGAATTCCTGTTTTCCTAGATTAATACTTTATATATTCCATGTTGCACTTCTTAATGGATGTTTGCAGCTGTTCTGTTCTTATTTTGAGTCATACACTGTCCCCAAATGATGATCCTGAAAACTCTGCTGAATTCACATCAATAAGATAAGATCCACTACACTTTGAGGAGGCAGCTCTTCTTTGGTCATAGTTTTAGTACTTTCTGATCTGAAAGCTCCTCTTCTAGTACTATATCACACAATGTTCTGTCGCTATCTGTAAGAACTTCACTGGCTATTTTGAGAATTAGATTGTTAAAACCGTCTTCCTACTCAGAGTCATGGTTGTTGTGTGATTTAGACATCGGCTGCTAACCAGAAGGTCAGTGGTTCAAACCTACTAGCCTGTTTGTAAGACAAAAATGAGGTTGTTTTCTCCTATAAAGATGTACAGGTATGGAAACACTATAAAGAACTGCTATGGTTGAAGTCAGCTCGATGAGACTGAGATGGAGTTCTTCCTAGTCTGTCAGTATAGAAGCTCTACAAAAACCTAACCCACTA